CTCTCTCTCTTGGTTCCATCCCGTGTAGGCTGCTGCTGCCTCCACACCACACGCTTCGTACCAGACAAAAACAGTGCGCCTAAAACTTCAACCTCTATGGTCCATAGATTGAGGCCGCCACCTTTTCTTAACATTTGTTTCTCCCTTTTTTTGGTAACTTGTAAGCCATCCTCATGAAATATATATAAGGTAGTTACGCGGTATAATCCGGTAATTTAAGGTTTAAAAACGGTGGAGATACACAAGATTGAAAATTTTATAAGAAAACATAATATTTTAGGTTTTGTGCTACTTAAAATATTACATTTTTATTGAATTTAAAATATTATATTATTTGTAACATTTTAGGTTAAACCTAAAATTATTACAAAGAATATAACATTTTAGGTTATACTCAACTTAAAATATTATACTTTTTGATAATATTTTCGATTGGAACTGTTTATTGTTTTTTTACCTTAAATTAATATGCCTTTTTCTAGACTTTCCTTGGAATACAAGGGATACTTGTGTTTTTAAATATTTCTTTCATTCTTTATTCAATGGATGCATGTGATGAAAGGCTAGCTCTTGGGTGGTAAACTGGTAAAGGTGATTTACTACGTGTTCAAACCTGATTGGCCATCACACATGTACAGGAACCCTAGTCGAGTTTTCTTAACAGTTTATTGTCTTGGTGGCGAATGAAGTTTCCAGGAATGATCCTGTTAGATATGGCAGTAATGTTATTTATAAATTCATTTACTTACAATGATCTGTTTATGTTTTATGTAAAATATTTTCTCTCATAAATCATTGCAGGAGAAGTGCACCAACACTTCCAGCTTGTGACTTTTTACAATCGTTCTTCCCTTTAATTTCATGCGACCCGACCCACATATCTACTTTTTCAAAGCCATTACTTTCGGCCATCCAAATAGGATTTAAATAGGCAGATAGCCCAAACCAAAATATCAAAGATTATTTCACAAATTTATTATAAATGTGGTCTGTAGTATCTGTAAGGTGCTGATATTATCTTTTAATCATCACATTTATTAAAAAAATTAAGAATCTAAAAATATTATAAAAACTTAAAATTTAAGTAAAAATTATAAAATTATAAAACTAAAAGCTAGAATTTATAAAAAAAAACTAAAAGATTTAAACACTTCCATAAAAAATTTCTCGATTATATCTTTAACTCAAATTTTCTTTTAATTATTTACACAATATTAATAATCGTATCACCAACTTTTTGTTTTTTTGCTTCCTATAACATAATTGAATTTGTATATGAAAAACAAATATATATAAAAGTAAATAATGAATTAAACTTGTAACAACAACATATAATTTGAAAATTTTATTATTTTGGTCCTTAAACCTATAAATTAGATTCCTCTTTAACCCCTTTAGTTTAGAGGGGAAAAAGGGGTTTATACAGTCCTAAAGTTGTAAATGTATTTTTCTTAATAAAACTACAAAACTACAATCCTAAAATTCTATAATCCAACGGTTAATATTAATTGAAACCACTAATATTTGCTTGTTGTTTAATTAATATGAGGACCCTTGACACTTAATCCTCCACGTCAACATTCTTTCTCTTAACAAGCTTTCTCTAATGACCACTAGATCCCAACACTTCCAAATCTTGACAATTTAGTCTAGATTTCCTAAAGTAAAATTTGTTACCTCGACATATACTTGATGGAATTCACAATGTCCAAATTAATCCGATATACAAACTTGGTTTAAACGAGAGGGTCGTTCTCAGAAATTTTAAAGTTAATCAAATTTCATAATGACACAAATTTTGATATAAAAAACTTACATAATAATAAAATTAGTCTTCAACATTTACATAAATAGACATTTTGACCCTTAATTTTTCGAGTATTTTAACTTTTTTAATTTGTTATCAAACTAGTTAACGTTGGATGAAATTCGTTAGTTAACTACCGATCAACACATATTATTAATGTATCATTTTCGCATAAGTTTAATTAATGACACAACACATTATATATTACTAAAATAATGACATGACATATACCACGTCACCAAATGTAATTGCAAAAATATTTATTTATGTAAATGTAACTCATGTTTAAGATGTATATTTTAAGACAGAGAATGGTTAGTTTTAGTCGAATTATAAGATTGATTTGAGCAAATTGCTTATCTATAGGCTTGCAAATGAACTGAACGTTCAGCGAACCGTTCATGAACGGTGCGGCGGGAAGTTCGTTTATGTGCGTTTATTTATTAAATGAACGAACATGAACAAGATTTTGTGTTCGTTTAATTAAATGAACGAACATGAACATAGGTCTCGTTCGTTCATTTACGTTCGTGAACGTTCGGTTATGTTCGTTTATGTTCGTTCGATTATGTTCGTTTATGTGCGCTCATTTATGTTTAACCCAATATTCTTAAATCAATTTTGGTAACTAATTTATATGTATCTTAAAAATATTAATTAATCTGATATTCTGATGATCAACTCCATAATTAACCCAATTTTACGTCGTTACCCATAAGCAATTAAGCGCTAATACAAAAAAACTCTAAATCTAAAAAGCAATATTTTCTCAACTCTTCTCCAGCCCGTCACTCAGTCGTTCTTGATTCTCCACTCTCCCCACTCTCCACAATTTTCGTTTCTGCAACGATTCGACAGAGCTTCATCTCTTTTCCTTCATCTTGGCATCTTAAACGTGATTTCATAAGGTAAATAATTTGAAAAAAAATTTGGTATGTTAATTTTTGGTGTGAATTTAGGGATTTTTTGTGGGTTTCAACGTTTTTTGACCTGTTAAATCAAGGTTACATCTTTACTCTCTCTCTCATGCTTGGATTTGTTTTCCTTTCTTTATTTTTAACTATCCTTGTTAGATCAGATGCATTCAATTTCAAAGAGCTTTGTCAATCTTGTTGAGTTCGCTTGAATAGATCGGTTGCTCTATGAATCGCAATTAAGGCAGAATGTAGTTCTTGCTTTAGTTCCATGTTTTTATATCTTTTATATTTGCACTGTATCGGTTTCTGGTTGAGGTCCGTTGTCTCCCTATTCAAAAGGGACTTGCTATTCCTGTTATCTGCTCTGCTTCACTACTGAGGTACTTCTAAAAGTAGTGTTAGCTCCTTATTCAGTCGGTTTGGTAAAGGTATTAAAACTGGCACATCTAAAAATGACCAACATATTAGAAGTGTCGATACTTTTACATTTGTCAAGTCAGAATTGAACACTTATTTGGAGGAAGGAGTTTTAATTGGTGAGCCTGGTGTATATTTTGATGCCTTGGGATGGTGGAAGGAGAACAATCTTAAATTTAGCATTTTGTCAAAAATGGCTGTTGATATATTGACAATTCCGGTCACTACTGTTGCTTCTGAATCTGCTTTCAGTGTTGGTGGGAGGGTTATTGATCCGCATATATCCTCTTTAGGAACTAAGATGGTAGATATGCTTGTTTGTGGAGCTGATTGGTATCGTCAATACTATGGGTTGGAGAAAAATAAAAACAATGTATTTTTATGTTTTAAGTTTTATTAAATTTGGTTTTACAATGACTAATATATTTTTGGTTTTTTGATTTGTTGTAGCAAAACGAAGATATCATATATGTTGAGCTTCCTTGAAAATGAGGATGAATGAATTGGTATAACCTCGATAATTTAGTATACTTTTCATCTTTTGTTATAACTCCTTTAATTTAATATAATTTTATTTCTTTGATTCTGATCAGGATGGATGATGAATTAACGACTGATCATGAATGCAAGTTTAATATGTTACGAATATTATTGAAGTTGTTTGGATTTCAAGAAGATTATTTTGTTGAACAAATTAACTTTAAGACTTTATTATGTTCATATAGTTTATTTATGATTTATGTATGCTTTTGCATTGTCGACTATTTTTCATGAAAGAACAATAGTTTGTAGGGTCTCCAACGTTTATGTTCGTGTTCATTTATGTTCGTGTTCGTTTATTTTCGACTTCGTTTATGTTCGTTTATTTATTAAATGAACGAACATGAACAAGTTATATTCCTTAATAAACGAACATGAACAAAAAAAAATTTGTTCGTTTATGTTCGTGTTCGTTTATTTATTAAATGAACGAACATGAACATACATCCGTTCGTATGCGTTCGATTCGTTTACAGGCCTACTTATCTAATTAAAAAGAAGAGGAACTGTTGAATATCTCCATCTAAGAATATTTAAAGCAAGTTTTAACGCAACTGTCCAAGTTTAAAATAATATCGGTGCTATTGATATATTCTGTTTTTTTTCCTATAATTAATTTATTAGTTAAATAATTCCCATCAGATACCGTAAAAAAGCAGTCTGATTTCCCTAGCAGGTTACATATCTTGACACAGCAATCCCATTAGATCCTTCAAACAGGATGCTGAAACTAATCCCAAATGATTAAAGGATTATTGTCATCTCTTAAGACCTATAATATCTATTTTTTATACGTTTCTGTTATTGGTATTTATGAAGGCTTAAAACTAGACTTGCTTTCGTTGACTTCTGTGTAACATTCTCTTCACTTTTAAATTTAATCGGATCTTACGTTTCTGTCTATATGCAGAGATTTTTTCGTATGGATTTATTTGCAGGGATTACTGCCCAAGTACAAACGTGCATATGATATTAATGATATTAATGTCTGCATATAAATACTGTTCAACTATGTATTTATGTATTTATTTATACATGCATTACATTTTATCTATATTTTTAATTTTCTGACTGTAGGAAGTCTTCCACGAAAACTACTCTCAACCTGGCGTTAAGGACAGCCTACTATCCTACCTCCCTCTTACCCCATTGCATATGAAAATTAGGTTTTGTTGTTATTGTCATCGTCTTAAGACCTCAAACTCAAACACGTCTGTAGAAGTATATGAACATTTATTATTAAATAATTGATTTTTTTTCAGACAGATACCTTGTACTAATAGATAAAAAAATTCCTTCTCCAAGTCAAGCTTGCCGTTATATCTGCGGCCCTATTTCCGTCATCATAATGATGCTGGTTTCAGTCATTGATTGAGTTGATTTCTGTCTGATTTGCAACCAACCCTACAACTTACACACAAAGTTGAACGCGTATTTAAAACTAACTAATAGTCACTTCCATAAATAAATTACCCGCATACATATTTACAATCCCCCTTTCTAATTCTTACAATAATTTCTCATCTGTTTCCACCCAAAAATAACAAACAAACAACAAATAACTCGCGAACAGTCCTTTTCTGTACAGCATCATTGTAGGATGGGATCATGGTGATTCAGACCTATGCAGTTTGCCATTAGGCCCCATAGCAATGCCTCGTAATTGTTTAGGGGCAAAACTAAAGGCCAAAAGGCATTAAAGTTTAAGGACCCAAAGTTGTCTTCATCATGATGGACAGAGTGGTATCCGACGAGAATAAAGATCTGCATGTACGAATCAACGTCAACCGGATTCTTGAGGACCCTATTTTTCTACTTTCACAAACTAATAAGATATCAAAACTCCAAAACTTGTTCTAAACTTTTCACAAACTCATGTTTCAGTACAGAATCAGTATTCCCATTTTTAGATACTTTAGCCATCTTAGGATCTAAAGACTAACATCTTGCAACAATGGCAGACAATGTTTCTTCAGATTAATGGAGCACACTAGTTTTAATTGCAAAGAGCAGTGTGTTCAACAGGAGATAGACATATGATAAGCGGGAAATGTTTACCTTGTTGCAATTTAGTTTCAAGGCTACACAATCAAAACCGTCTGCCAAGATGAGGTGATGCTGAGCCTGAGTGAAGAGGCCTTTTCACAAATGGGTGCCGCAAGAGCTTCGCAGCAGTTGGCCGAGAATAGGGATCAGCTTGCATGCATTGCATGATAAAATCTCGAGCATCTTTTGACAAAGAATCAGGAATCGGTGGTGGCTCACCTTTCCCAATTCTAAACAATGCTTGCATCTGTTTCAAGTTGCAAAATGTCATTAACATAATAAAAAATTCATGCAATACATGCATGAAAACGGAGTACCAAAATTTTAACTCAGCAACAACACTTGCTCATAGCTATCCATCATCAGTGCAAGACAGAATTCATCATGAACAATCAGCAATGAAAGAAACTGGAACAACACTCCCCCCCCCCCCTCTAACCCCATTTCATGCAATAAAATTCTTTAGCCATTTCGTGATTTGGTGATGACAAAATACAAATTTCCACATCATCTGTTCTTTCTCCTTTTATATCAGATCACTCCATAAATAATCTAGACAAGGCTTGTGTCCAGAAGAAAAGCAACGTACCCATTCCAATGGATGGTACGGAATATGACGGGTTAACATCTCCAACACAGTACAACCAAGGCTCCATATATCAGCAGGAATTCCATAACCTTGACCTTTTCCGTTGACAACCTGTAATTAAACAGCTGGTGATCAGAATTCATAGGATAACAAAATTATTGGTAGTCTGTCACAAAGTAAATTATTGTAGCAAAGGCAACATGGATAAAAATGTTTGTACAGAAAAAGTACTGGAACCCATCTAGGAGAAGACATCATTTAGGTCTGATCTAAAGAGGAGCCAATAGCTTTCAGAATGGGTGAAATGCCACAATCAAACATTAGCAACTAATTGTCTAACTAAAAATAGCTTTTATTTAAAAATTACTGGTTGCAATTTTTTTAGTGTTCGTGTTTAAGCTAAAATGCTAAGATTCAGGCTATTATATAAAAACTAAATTGGCACATGAAACTCATGTTCATATACATGATGTCCCAGGAAATGATGGTGGACCAGCAAGAGAAATTTACACCTTTTGTCCTGTCTTTGTCACCATTTTCATGACTCATGAATGTGTATTCCTATAAGCTAAATACCTCCAGCAGTATCTCTAATGTAGTAGAAAAATATTCACTAAAAATGCACTCTATCATTTTTATGTCACCATTGTCAAAATTGAGAATTCCTACAAGCTAGATATCTCGAGTAGTATCTCTAAAACAGAAATGATATGATGCTCTAAATACATCAAGCAACAACTATTACGTATTATCACTTCTGAAAGGAAAGAATAGAGGCAAACCTCAGGGGCCATCCAGAATGCTGTCCCTTTGCATGATTTAACATCATTCAACGTAGTTGCCTGAAGACAAACACCAGCACCAATATAATTATTATGATCATCTTAGAAGCTACTAATAAACAAGAAACAAGATCGAAGTCTTAGACTTGAAAAAAGAAACCTTTGCCAACCCAAAATCTGCAAGTTTAACCGATCCATTTGCATCGACCAATATGTTCGCACACTTAACATCCCTGTATCAACAATCAAAATGATATGTCTTGAGAGATTAAAGTTTGTAATAATTCAGGTATAATTTATTTTCAATGTTAAAACTATAACAAACACCAAATTCCAAATCAGGAAAGAGGGCATAAATCAACCAGGCACCCAAACTTAAGGAAAAATAAATACAAAATACAAGTAAAATGTTTACAAAAACTTATATTATCAAAGTAACTGAAATGACCATCCAGCTCAGTTGGTAGAGCACAAGGTTCTTAACCTTGAGGTCGTGGGATCGAGTCCCATGGAGGGCATTTCATAATTTGGAGGTCTCTTACGGAAGCTGCTCTCAACCTAGTGTTGGGGACAGCCTACTATCTTACCTCCCCCTTCCCCCATTACATATGGGTACAAGGGACAACCAACCATATTATCAAAGTAACTGGTTTTCTTGAATTTTAAACGCCCTTTGAGAAGGAATGTCAATAGAGATAAGGAATCAAAACTTCCATCCATTAGGTAGAGCAATGTTTACATTAAAAGGGTATATTTTCTATTACAAAGTAATTTCCCATTAGAAAATATGTGTAAGAAAAACATATAACTAAAGTGTTTACAAAATTTCATATTTAGCTAGATCATACAAACAAGATTTTTAAGCAGTGTAAATAAATGAGAAGCAGCATGAAAGGTCTCTTGAATTACCTGTGAACCACATTTCGGTCATGAAGATACTTCAACCCATGCAGAATCTGTCTTGTATAAGCAGAGACTTGAGAATCTTTGAGATGGTACCTCTGATACAGATCTAAAAGAGAGCCTTTGGTTACAAGCTCAAGAAAGATGTATAAATTTGATTGATCCTGCAAAAAACATAAGATCAAAAGATAAAAGTTAGACAATCAATGAATGAATTTGACAATTAATAAAACTAAACCCAAATGAAATTTTAAAAGAAGGTTAATTGGCTACCATGTTTTTTTTTAATTCAAAGGCTAGCAAAAGTAATCAATTCCGGTGATTATGGTAAATGTGACAAATTAATACCTTATCTGTGCCATAATACTGAACTATATTTTCATGTTCAAACTGGCTTAAAAGAGCAATCTCCTGAAAAAGAAAGGAAATAAAGAAATTAAATAGACATAGAGAAGAAGAAAATGGATCTTTCAAGAAAAATGATTGATTAGCACAACAGAAAATGAAATTTTAAAGAAGTAAAAGCTAAGATCTCACTCACTTGTTCAAGTTGGATAAGACTTTGCTTTCCCTGACTTCCTTGATCAAGCAATGAAACTTCCTTAACGGCAAAAAAGAATCCATCCCTTCGGAAAAATGAATGGATAAAAAATTAGGCATAGAATGATTAAAAGAATAATATCTTTTTCCTAAATAAAATAAATAAATAATCTATTGGACAAGTGGAAAACCAACCAATTGTTAATTAAGATAAAATACGTTTCTCTACACTATTCTGAATATTTTTTATAATCAATGATTTCTCCTGTGACTCCAAGTAAATGACATCAAATAGCTTAGAGCTTATGATTATCCCAATTCTCTACAATTAGCTCCATATATTAAAGATCCTAGTGCAGTGTTGCTTCCCTGAGTTTATATTTCTCAACTCTTCAAAAACAGTCAACAACTAAATTCATCATCGTGAAATTTATATACAGAACAAAATATCTCCGGTGAACCAGTTCACAACCAAGAAACTTATACTTGAGCCCAACACCAAGAAACAAAATCTATTTCGAAACAATAGTAAATGGACTTAACTATGGTATTTATTTCTCTATGCCATTTCTCAGAATACAAATTGCCCGCAAAAAAAGCCTACATGGGTATATCAAATTATCAATTATGAAAAACTTCAAGCAGCAAACAAAGTAACACTTAAAGATAGATGGTCCAAAAGGCTAAAATTCATCATCGATCAGCCCTTTCGTGTTCTAGACAGCAAAAACAAGAGACATCTGAAAAGTAGTAACCTTTGGGGTTCACTATATAAATTATATCTAGTTATACTTAATACACCGACCCAAACATGTAAGACTGCTCTTTAAAGAAGCAAGGCACAGTGTAAAGACGGTTCCTTAGATGCTTAATTAAGACGAACAACACTTCCTAGCCCTAGATACCTTCTAATCTCTATTCTCTAAATTCTAAAAAACGATGCCGCCAAGTGACAAACTATATGTAGAACTAAAGCGGTACGGGTACCCAAAGTTAAAATAATTTGAAATGAAAGCTACCTATATGGAGTCGGACGTTATATAGTATCAAATTACTTACTCGGAAATCCCTTCGTAAACTGATCCAAACGACCCACGCCCCAGAAGATCACCTTTCTGCCAATATGTAATTGTCCTTTTGAACCTACCGTTAGGGGAAATATTTGACATAGGCTCTGTTGTGGTACTCGAAGAATCATCATCATTCGAAGTTGTAAACGAACAAGACTCTGAAAGCACCGCAGTCTCTCCTATTCTCATTAAATTTCCCTCCTCCTTAGCATTTTCATCGTTAACCCTACCCTCCTCTCGTTTATATTCTTCGTCATCGGAAGAAAGTAAGTTATCCAAAACCACACACCCTCTATCGTCGTCAGGACCGAAATCCCTAAACAGATCCCAAGATGAGCACCCGTTATCGATCACTTCTAGCTTCATTCCCGGAGGAGGCTTTAAAAACGGTGGCCTGTCCCCTTTAATTCCACTATTCCCTCCTCCACCACCAACACACGAAACACAGGACGCGTTTGTCTTTAGCTCGGTTGTAGTAGAATCATCCACCGCAATTTTATCGGAAGAGCAGCATTCCCTTAGCTTCGACTCGGACGAGTCGTTCCCAGTCAACTCAGTAGCCGAAAACCTATCAGACAACTCAGCTACCGTTACTTCAGCGGCATCTTTTACTTGAGCCATCTCTTCTTTAGGACTATGCAACCGGTTCAATCTGGACCGAGGCAGAAGATCCGAGGACGATCTGATTTTACGGGCCTCCCAAGCGGCGGCCGGTATGGAAAAATCGTCAGGACCATTAAGGCCCAAACTCCGACAAATCAGTTCGAACTCTCCGTCGGTTCCTTCGATACGGAAGCTGGTTTTGTCGTATAAATCGAGCGACCGTGTGATTAGAGGAGAAGAAGATGAAGAAGAATCGTCGATAGACGAATAAAACGACGACGCATCGTAATCGATGTCCTTCGCCGCATTGCTGCGTTCGAGCCTAGGTTTTCTCCTGCTGCTCTTCTTCGAGTCCATGGCGACTCTATTACTAAAGAATCGAGGTAAGTGATGCATATGGAGCAAATTCCATCAAAATCAAAACGCACATAAAGTAATCTAGGGTTTCCAAAAATATCAATTTAGAAATAAGAAACGAAGAATTTTCTTTCTTTTCTCCGTAACTTTCCTGGAAAAATTTAGGTGAGAAAATTTGGGAAGCAAAAAGGAGCTGACCTAGAGCGAGAGAGAGAGATAATGGTAGACAGAGTGGCTAGTAAACGCCGCCGGTAGAGAGAGAAAGAAATATTAAACGCGTTGCCACGTGGAAAATAAAGAAAGAGTTAATTTATTTTTTTGGAAGTATTAGTATTGTAGTATTTGGTTTAAGGTGGGACCCGATTAATAAACTGTTCAAGTTGTTGCCACGTAGACAAGCGGGATTTATTTGTCTACGGCGGCATGCATGCAGCGTAAGTAGACCCACATGGCAGCTGGCGAAATGGAGACAATTCGTCTCTATCCTTGGAAATTTGTGTAATGTTGGGGGCTATAACTCAAATTAGATTATTTGTTGAAATTTCAACCCGAAAACTTGAGATATTTAACTACCACAAAAAGGTTATGTAATAGTCAAATTTCAACCAAAACTTTGATTTATGCCTTGGGGAAGTGTCAAATTTTAAATCGGAAATTTTAACAAATTTAAAATGAGGATAATAGTTTAGAGATATATAATGCAATTAATTTCCAAAACTAATCATTATCGTTTAACTATAGATTGTTAAGAATATATATTAATTGTATTAATAGATTAATTGCGACCGATTTGAAGTTTCTCTGGGCGCACGTTAGCCGGCCTAATGGGTCCTCGGTTTCTCTTCTTTGTTTCTGATTTCTTCTACGGTCTTGTTAGCTGAGATTTTTTCGTAGTTGCTTTTGTTTCTTTGGTATGGATTCGTCGAGTTTGAGTCTTGATTGGAGAAATTTATTCGTGGGTTCGAAGAATCAGTCGCTTGATTTTCCCCCCCTGAGATTCATGATGGAGCTGTTGCGGTTAAGCCTCCTCTTTAGGTAATTGAGGAAGGCATTGCTGATTGGAATCATGCCCTAGTGGGTCAGTTCATCGGCGTGGCTCCAAGATTTGCTTCATTGCAGCGTATTATCGTTTCGATTTTGGGGAAATCTTCGCAGGTGAAGGTTAGTTTAGCTGGTCCTAACCTCTATGTGTTTTCGTTTACGGATGCTAATCTGAGGGACTGGGTGCTCGATAACGGTCCCTGGCATATCCAGAATAAACCTCTGGTTTTGAGGAGGTGGGAGCCTGGATTGCAGAGACTCAATTTTGACCTAGCGCTAATGCCTATCTGGGTTCAACTCTATAATATCCTGCTTGAGCTCTACACTCAAAAAGGACTTAGTTACATAGATAGTGCATTAGGTAATCCTCTTTTTATGGATTCCATCACTGCATCTCGTGAGAGGCTAGAATTTGCTAAACTGTGTGTTGAGATTGATGTTGGCAGTGTTCTCCCTGATGTTATTCATGTAATGCTTAAGGATGGGACGTTTGTGGAAATAGAAGTGCATGTGCCATGGATGCCTCAGTCCTGTGCTACATGTAAAGTGTTTGGGCATCATGTTAGCTCGTGTACTAAGATTAGGCAAACTTCTATTAAGCCTAAGGAAGTTCAAGTCTGGAGGAAGAAAGAAGTCACCCATTCTGATGAGACTGGTAGTAAGGAACCTCTGTTTACTATTGTTGAAGCTACTCATGAGAAGCTTACTTCTGTTTGGAATTGCCATGGAATCATATGTCCAAGATCTTCAGGAAGCTAGTGAGGTCACCCATCTTGTTGGTCTGGGGTCTGGTCCCATGTAACTTGTTACTGTTGACCAGTCTTCTGATTTGAAGGATCATAATGGTGACTCTAGTGGGCTTGTTAGCAACTTGGGGGTCGAGGGAGTTGTCAAGCCTAGTGAATTTCCTTCTCTTCAGGATTCTCTGAAGAAGAAGACTAGGGGTAAGAAAAAAGAGAATATTGGTTCCTCTAGTAAGGTAGGAAACTTGGTGGATGGCCCCAGGAAGACCAGGGCTGCTTCTATTGGTGTAGCTTTGTTACTTAATGAGATTAAGGCTAAGAAGAGGGATTATTTGGATAAAGTGAAGAGTAATGTGGTGTCTTTGGGTCCTGGCTGTGATGTTCATTCCTCCTCTTGATAATGATAGTGAGCTTTTGGAATGTTAGGGGGATTAATAACCCCCTAAAGCAGGCGAAAGTGCTTAAGAGGCTGGATTCTTATGAAGTGGATGTTATTTGTCTTATGGAGTCTAGGATTAGAAGGGATAATTCTGCCAAATTTTCCACTATTTTTTCTACTGATTGGAATTTAGTTGAAAATTATGATTGTGTTAATGGGGGCAGATTATGGATTATTTGGAAGAGGCAGCTGTCTTTTTCTGTGTTGAGAAGAAGTGATCAGGCCATCTCTATTATTGGCACTATTGATGGTTTTCAAACTGCTATTATTGCTGTTTATGGTAGCAACAGTGGTGGTACTAGAAGAGGTCTTTGGGAGCATTTGAAGACTGTTGAGAATGCTATTGGATCCTCTTCTTGGGTGATTGGTGGGGACTTCAACATAATTGCCAGAGCTGAGGAAAGTTCAGACTTCGAGGTTATGGGAGTTCATAATTCTACTGACATGAAGGAGTTTCAGGACTGCTTGGAGGAGCTTGATCTGATGGACCATCCTTTCCTTGGGCCTATCTTCACTTGGTCAAATAGGCAGGAGGGTTCTTTTTTAGCCCGGAAGCTAGATAGGATTTTGGTTAATTCTAAGTGGTTGCTGGATTACCCTAATTCTTTTGTGGAATGCAAAGCTCAGGGGGTCTCTGACCACTGCCTTGGGCTTTTATGGTCTCAAAAGGGTGTTTTGATTAAGAAGCCTAAACCGTTTAAGTTCTTTAATTATTGGGCTTCACATGACAGATTCCTGACTATAGTTAAAGACTCCTGGCAAGTGCACTGTGCAGGTTCTACCATGCAAGTTCTGTTTAGTAAAATGAGAAGGCTTAAGCCTCTCTTAAAAGAGCTCAATAAGGAGTTTTATTCTGACATCTCTGGTAGAGTGAAGGGTAAAAGATCTGAGTTGGAGCAAATTCAGATTTTTAATTTGACTCATGTTGAGCAGAGAAGAGTTGATGAGGAGAAAAGAGTTTATGATGAGCTTGTTAACTTGGAAGTAGCTGAGTCTGAGTTCTATAGACAGAGAGCTAAGATGCATTGGTTGAATGAGGGAGATCTCAATACTAAATTCTTCCATCAGAGGGTCGAATACAATAAGAAAAGAAATACCATTAGAGTAATTAAAGGTGAAGATGGTCAATTTTATGACACTTTTGAGGGCATGGTTGTTGAACTAGTAAGTTTTTTCACTAGTCTAATTGGAATTGAGGACCCTCTTATCAAGAGCAGTTCTATTGAAGATCTGAAAGGCCTGTTAAACTACTCCCTGCCAGAAGGAGCTGCTGATTGTTTAATTAGTGAAGTGAGTGATATGGAGGTTAAGGAGGCCTTGTTTAAGCAAGGTAAGGACAAGAGCCCAGGTCCTGATGGGTACACCTCTGGGTTTTTCAAGGCTGCCTGGGACATTATAGGTGCTGATTTCACTTCTGTTGTGAGGTATTTTTTCCAGACCTCCTGTTTGTTGCCTGCATTCAATGCCACTGCCATTGTTTTGGTTCCTAAATCCCTTAATGCATGTCTTGCTAAAGAATTCAGGCCTATTTCTTGTTGTTCAGTAGTTTACAAAACTATTACAAGAATTCTAGTCAATAGACTTGCTCATTTCTTTTCTAGTATGATATCACTTAGTCAGTCAGCCTTTGTTAAGGGCAGGAACATTGTTGATAACACCTTGCTAGCTCAGGAAATTGTTAAAGGCTATTCTAGAAAGAGCCTTTCTCCTAGATGTGCAATCAAAGTTGATTTACAGAAGGCTTTTGACTCTGTTAGTTGGGATTTCTTGTTGAAGGCTCTTGATGTTATGGGTCTCCCTTGTACTTTCTGTAATTGGATTAAGGCCTGTATTACTACACCTATGTTCTCTCTTTCTTTAAATGGTAGCTTGGTGGGGGTTTTTTAAAGGAGGTAGGGGGATTAGGCAAGGAGATCCTTTATCTCCTTACCTATTTGTTTTAGCCATGAATGTTTTGTCCTCTCTCTTAGATGCTGCTGCTAAGCATGGTATTTTTAAGTTCCACCCTAAATGCAGAAGAATATCTCTCACTCATCTCTACTTTACGGATGATCTGCTTGTTTTTTGTCATGGCTCTTTGGGCGCTGTGTTGGGAGTGCAATGCACTTTAGATAAGTTCTATGAGCTTTTGGGTCTTAAATTGAATGCCCAAAAGACAGAATTATATGCTTGTGGTGTGAACATGTTTGACTTGGAGCAGATCATAATGGCTACTGGGTTCAGGGTGGGACAGCTTCCTGTGAGGTATCTTGGTGTGCCCCTGGTGACCCGCAAGCTCACAGGCAAAGACTGTGAAGCACTTCTGACCAAGATAAAGGACAAGCTCAGGATTTGGTCTAACAAGAACCTGAGTTATGGTGGTAGGCTCCAATTGATTAAATCTGTTTTATTCAGCATTTTTAACTATTGGAGTAGGCAGTTGGTTCTGCCCAAGGGTGTTATTAGGGATATTGAATGCCTCTGTATGCGTTTTTTCTGGAAAGTCAGTGATTCTTCAGCTAAAGGGGCTCGTGTGGGTTGGAGCCATATTTGCTCCTTGAAGTCTGAGGGTGGTTTGGGTCTTCGAAACCTTGTGATGTGAAATAAAGCTTGTTGTTTGCTCCTTATAAAGAACATTTTGGCTAATGAAGGCTCTCTGTGGATTGCTTGGATCAATGAATATTGTTTCAAGTCAGTTAGCTTTTGGGATGTTGAGTGTAAAGCTCACTTCAGTTGGGTCATGAGCAAGCTTCTGAGTATGCGTGAGGAGGCTAGACGTTTATTCCTCCCTTGTTCCAATCGGAGTCTTATTAATGGCAAATGGATCTGGGACAATATCCGGGATTGCAAGGCGAAGGTAAACTGGCATAGACTGATCTGGTTCCCTGCTCACATTCCAAAATTCTCTCTTGTCTCGTGGATGGTCTTTCTCGACAGATTGCCTACTAAAGACAGGCTTGTTCGGTTTGGTTTGGATATTGACAATGTATGTGGTTTGTGTGGCTCTGGCATTGAATCTCGAGATCATCTTTTTGCTGAATGCCCTTTTGCAAAAGAAGTGTGGGGGATTGTTTTAATTGCTTGTGATATTCGTTATGACCTTAACAGTTGGGGTGACATTTTCAACTGGTTGATTGTAAACTTGAAGGGCAAATCCATCAGAGTTCGTATCATGAAGTTGGCTTGGACTGGTCTGCTGTATTTTGTCTGGGAGGAGCGTAATCATAGACTCTTTCGAGGCTCGACTCGCTCGGTTGATGTAGTCGTAAATAACATAAAAAAGGTTGTTAGAGTCAAGTTGTGTAGATTTGGATGTCCTAGGATTGAGGATGTTAATAGCCATTTATACTTGAACTGGGGTCTGTATTGAGGTTCTTTGTTTACTGTAGTAGCTAGGCTGCTTTCTTGGATGGAATATAAATTACTTATCAAAAAAAATGCGACCGATTCAATTTATTAAGTACAAACGTCACTTATTCATAAAATAAATCGAATAAATATTATATATAATATACAATTGTATCACTTAATTAATTTAACTAGAATTTATATAATACATGTGGATTTGATATTATTGTTAGAGTTAATGGTACACCTCATGGCACAACAAAAAAATTAATATGGTGATCTCTTCAAGAGATCCATGTACGATTAACAAATCCATGAAGAATGATGTAAAATATTACCTTATTTTGTATGGAAATAAAATAGTTGAGAAGATGACTGTAAATTCTGATCTACGTAACATGATGTCGATCAAGCAACAACGTAAAATGTCATAGTCTCTACGTTGTAATGAACAAAATAATCAAAGAGTAAAATTGAAACTATTTCGAATAGTATTTTGTCTTTTTGTATATAATGTGACTATTAGACCATCTATATAAATATATAGGATATGATCCTGTTACACAATGTAATTTTTTTTAGTTTTACACAAATTTAAAATCATTGGATGAGTGAAAATAGATGACTGAGATTAACAGTAGGAAATAAGAAGATATTCATTGGAAAGAAAAAACAAAGAGTCAATCTCAGTTATCTATTTTCACTCATCTAACGGACCTAAATTTATGTAAAACTAAAGAATTTTACATTGTGTAGGTGGATTCTAACCCTATATATATATTCAGTGTTCAATAGTTAACAGGTCAATCAAATCATCAGTTGAGTCGGGTCAAAGGTCAACGAGTCGGATCGAATCAATAGGTCAATTTGATTTGGGTCTAACTCGGCCTAGTTTGAATAGTTCGGTCTGGTCCAAGTTATTTGGTTTAGTTTAACTTTGGGTCAAGCTTTATCTTAGGCTGGCGTGATTTGATGTTGACCTTGAACTAGGGTTTCACACCAAAGTTAATAGATATGATTTTGGGGTCTCGAAGTTGGTAACTAAATCTCTCATTCAGGTATAGTTATATGGTGAAGATGAGACATCCACAATTAGCCTCTCGACGGCGTGTGGAGGCACACGACCACACTCCACGATCCAAAAATCAAAAGAGCCATTAACCATTTGAGGGAAGGACACAACGACTTGAAAATGAGCTTACTTTGATCCATGATTTGCAACGTAGGCAGTGACGCACGACCATGAAAATGTTTGTGAGAACCCAGTGGATGACTCTCTTGGCTCTCCTACATTGTAGTCGGTGAAGAAACAAATTTGGTGAAGTTTTGCTTGCGCTAAAGAAGGGAATCAAATGGTTTGGACGATGCACTCTACGGTAATAATGATTGACAACGATGCGAGGAAGATTTTAGAAGACTTTTATCTTTGGCTCATGCTAACGATAGACGATGAATGATCAAAACTAGTAAGGGTTTTCTCGCGATAGTGAGGGGACCACGATGATGTGGAAGTAATGATCATGATGTAGTACCCAAAATTTTGATTAGTGACCAAAATGTAAAATTTGAAAGTTTAGTGATAAAAGTATAAAATTAGAAAATGTTTAGGGACCTAAGTGGTAATTTTCTCAAAAAAATTTATTCAATAAATTGATAGTTTATTCTTGAGAGTGGAGTTTTATTGAAATCATATTCTTGATTTGGAAATTTTGTTAAAAACTAGAAAGTGTTAAAGCCCGGTAAAAATTCGATAAATTGGATCGAATAAAAAATTTGGAAAAATTGGAAGGATGATAAATTAAGTTTAGAAATATTATTTCCACATTTTAAATTATGAAAAATAATATGGATCATTGGATTTGAATATTTATTTCTATGTTTAATTTGGATCGTTGGATCAAAGTGATAATATTACAATTTTTGGAAAGTTGCTTGGTAAAATTGAAAAAGGGTAAAATATTTTGTTCATCTTTGACTTTGGAAGATGATAAAAGTTATGTGGCTTGGTATTATGGTAAATATCAAGTTTCATTAATGGTAAAATGAACATTTCACATTAAACAAATTTTTAATTCATTTAAGCTTAAAGTAAGGCCAAAATAACATGAAATGAAGTAAAGAATTCATGAAAATTTGGCCATTTTCAGCTCCATTTTGTGCTCCCATGAACAAGAGATTGAGTTCTTGAAATCAAGATCGAATATTATTAAAGCTAAGGAGAAACTTAAGGATGAAATAGGAAATTCTAAGGAAGTTTGCAAGCTAAGGACACTAGGTGAGTGCAAATTTAATTTGTACTTATGTTATCGAACAAACATTGGCTTACGATGAGCTAGTGATAGAGTTACTATGGTAAGAAGTGACTCCTAAAATGTTATGTGATTTGTGATGCATGCATATATGTGCATTTGGTGAGCTAATAGAATTAGTGACAAGCTGAAAATGCAAATTGGTGAAGTCTGCTTAGAAATTTAGCCATGGACAGTAAGTTTAGAAAATCACCATAAATTATCAAAAAATGATTAGAGGATTATTTTTATACCGTTATATTCTTATATAATCTAATTTTTTTAGAACAAATGGAAATTGATTTCGAGATATATACAAAAATATATTAATTTAACTGAAGATAGGTCAGAAAATAGGGCAGCAGATTCTGCTCAAAATAAATTATGTCTGTCAACTTTGAAAATTTACCATAAATTGTACAAATTGAACTAGAAGGTATGCCTCATATGGATAGATTTGTATTTGAGTCTAGTTTCCAGTGGCACAAACAAAATAATTTTTAAAGGTGTATATATTAATACATAATAATATTTCTTTAAAGGTAATGCAAACTGTCAGAATATGAAATTATGACATTTGGGATTTAACCAAATTAGACGCAAAGGATCAAGTTAAAGTTTAGTGAGACTTATATTTTGACTTGAATATAAAGTCTCAAAGTGAGTGCAATGCATGCATAATATTATACATGGATGTTTATACATCATTGGGTAGGACTTGCGATAAGTATAACTTAATTATATTGTCATGATATTTATGTCATTTATCATATAATTGATATATTCTAAATATGTCAAAGGTGAATATAGAATGCATTGCTCATTGTTTATTTCACATGATGTTATCATGAATACATAAATGTTATTTCGGGTATGAAATGCCCAAAGGTTAAATGGTATTGATATACCTTGCCTTGGATGAATCAAATAAAAATAGACTAATGCCCAAGTATGTTATTGAGGGTCAGTGGTATTATTAGCATGTCATAGAGTCTATGAACTGCATATTAGGTAGCACTAGAGTGTCTAGCGAAGACACATAGTGCAAGCCTCAAAGTGTCTAGCGAAGACACATGGTATAAAACACTACAGTGTATAAGGTGGGCACGACCCAACCTCAACACTACGGTGCATTATTAGGTGAGCAAGGTTCGACCTCAGCACTACAGTGCAATATTTGGCTCCTATATCGGGTCCTCATAAAGTTATACTTTGGGCTATGATTTATTGGTTAATAAATGGTAAACATGCATATAAGCTTACGAGCTTGTGGAATGAATGACAAGTATATTAGTAAAAAACTTAATATCCGGTTATATCATGTTAATATATGGTAACATGGTTGGAATACAGGTAAAGTGATCATATTGCATTGAAAATGGTTATTCATTTAAATTTATGTGTTGCATTGCTTTAAATATTCGTATGATTGTCTCACTAAGTGTATACTTAGCGTGTGATGATTTTTCAATCGTAGGAAAAAAAGAGGAAAATGAGTAAGGAGCTGAGCTTGACATCAGTCACCAAGGAAATATTTACAGGTAACAATGATGGCATCCTATTGTGTTCTAAAGGTTTTAGATGGCATGTATACGGGAAAGAAACGTCTTCAATTTCTTAATATAGTTAGTATTAAATATAATTAATAGTATGAATAAATTTATCATATTAAACTATGCTTAAAAAAATAATTTGGGTTTTTAAATCATACGTGTTAGACAGTCTTATTTATTTTATGAAACAGAACAAAACTGTCTATCACTGCTTGAAACGGGTTTTGAATTGGTAAACAAAAATATTATATTCCAATTTTTCTCTGAATAATTATTTTATAATAATTGTTCAAGTTATGAAATTAGTGAGGTTTGAATGAAACGAAAATTTTACTCAGTTTAATTAAAGAAATGTTTTGAATTTCTGATATGATATATGTAACTCGTATTGATTCGCGTATACGGGTTACGGGTTATGGGTGTTACACATGTCATATGTGATTTTCTTCCACATGATAAGATATCAACTATCTCGTACAAAGACAATAATAAATACATAATTTATAACTCAACTGAAAAGAGAATACATAAAACGAAATATATTTTCCCAAAGTTTTCTCCCTTATGATTTTCAAAAGAATAATAATATAAATATTTGACGAATCCGTTCAATTGGTAATTTGAAAGACCTATTCACTAGTGTATTGTTTACATGAACATTTAAAGATTGTATTTAAGTTTAAATCATAAAAGTCAAATATCTTATGTGATAATGTCATGAGGTGGAGTAAATACGAGTTGTACTTTTTTTCTAACCGAGGTTTTGTCTCACTTGATTTTCCTAGTATGGTTTTTAATTAGACAACTTGTTATGTTTATTAAAGATATATGTACCTTTTCTCTTTCATTAAGTTTTTTTCCCACAAGATTTTTATCTTAGTAAGGTTTTAATAAGATACATTATCTTCATAGACATCCAAAGAGGAGTGTTATGAACATTTATTTATGTACATATATGATAAGATACGATTTTGATGTACATTCTTATCAAATCTTTAATATCTATTAATATTAGAATTGTACATTAGATTTACTACTTATAGCTGTATAGAGGTTGGTAAAGTCCCTTAATACACTTGGGATGGGCATGGGTCGGGTTGGGTCGGGTTTTTGGTCCACCCGACCCGACCTGAGAAGAAGGGGACCTCCACCCGTGACCCGACCCGACCCGATCCGACAAAATTAGTTTTTCACCCGACCCGACCCGATAGATAGTTTAAAAAATCCGATCCGACCCGAAATAATAAAAAAATTATTTTTATTCAATAAAAACAGTGACTAAATTGAAAAAAATAATATATAGAGGTTTATTATTGTAATTATTCTTAAATATATAGGGTAAAATTATATATTTTTCCCGGGTCGGGTCGGGTCGGATTTTTCACCCTAAACCCGAACTCGACCCGAACTCGAAATTTTTTTAGAAAAATCCGACCCGATCGGGTCGGGTCGGGTCGGAACCCGTCGGGTTCGGGTTAGATGTCCATCCCTAAATACACTCCATATAAAACTCTTTTCTCATACGTCTTCCCTCTACCTTTTAAATACCCATTGCATTTCTCGTTCCAGTTGTACTTCATTACAGTGTTACTCTTCGATATGTGTCTGTTTGTTAGCTACACCTTTTGTATGCCTTTTTGCTTCATGACCATTGTGTTTCTCATT